CGGCCCGCGCTGACTGACTCCCGTCTGTGGCTGCGTTTGCGTCTGTATCATTAGGGCATCCCTGCAGTGGTGGCGCGCCGACGCGCGTCACAGCGCATCGACGCGCATCATCGCTACGTCTGAACGCTGCCTTGCGGACACAAGTGGGTTTACCTCAGCTGGGCGCCTCGAGAAATTAAGCTTGTGAAACTGAGTACACTCACTCTGTAACAACTAGGACTTACGATATTTGTTTGCCGAAGTCGATTCCGCACATACTTGAGGAACGGTTCGTAATCGTTAGTGTTGTTAGGCAATTTTCGAACTTTGACAGAAGCTCGTAAACCACCATTATGCGAGGAACGCCGATCATGGATCAGAGGTGCTAACTCTTCGAGATCTGAATGTGACCGTGAATGATATAGGTTTCCACGGAACAGTTGCCTTTAACAGTCTACTTTAGCATATTCCTTGTGCCAAGGAGGTTATTAAGTAAAACTTTTTATTCAGTAACTTTTTATTCATAGCCTATGGTTCCGACCAGGTTGTCCCCCTTATAGGTCCAGTCCACCATCATAAGGAAAGTTACTGCCCAATCAATGTAGGTGGAAAAGAAGCAGTCGTTGGCATAAAAACATTAAAATTATCGCAAAAGGTAAGATTCTTCAAAAGTGATGTTAAAGAGGACTCAGCAAATTTTAAAGGATGCATATAAAAAGAGTTTTCGCTTTCTGTGAAAGCTCAGCTTATTGTTAGGATCAAATGAGCATGAGCCTTCACGGCTAAAAGCTGCACGGATGCCAAACGACGTAGTGCGGGAAACAAATATTATCAGGAGGGGGTGAATGCAGCCAATACACCCCTTATGTAACTACACGCAGGGTAGTAGGTTTGAACCCATATTTTCGGAAGAATTTTTTTATTGTTGTTTTGAGGCGGAGGTGGTGTAGTGGCAAGTGGCGCGCTCTGAAGATCAAATCCCGGATCGGCTTCCGCTCAAACCAAATTGGTACAGCTCCGTCTGGGAGGATAAAAACNCTGATCGGTACATCTACCGACTCCGCAAGCTATTTTGCTGACATGCAAAATCTGACGTGGTTAAGAGTGGAATGGGAGGTGGGGGAAGGGGGGGGGTCCTTTTACCTAGTTACAGTTAGCACTTCTCTAGCTTATCAAAAGTCTGTAGACTCTTACAGAGCGTAAACGAAGGTCTCTGCTTTCCCATAAATTCTTTACAGAAATTTATTAATCTTCACAACAGACATTATGGTAATGATCGATGGGAACCAGCAATAGCCCCACAGTCCGATCTGCGCAGTAAATACGGTTGTAAACAATGGTAGGAGCAGAATGGTCAAAAAGCCCCAAGTATGTGAAGGAGTGGATTCCAAAAGAAAAACCATCTTGAAACGCGAAATAGTCCAAACATGAATCCTCAAGGCGTTAACCTTACTTTCCACGTTTACCATAAACATCTTGTCCTCATGTTGCTGGAAGTCTACATTCTATGTAGACAAATTAGGTAAATACGGTAAGAACGATAAGTATAAAGGTAAATAGGTGAGCAGGTAGTAGGCAGATAGGCAGGTGGTAGGAGAGATAGATAGATAGATAGATAGATAGATAGATAGATAGATAGATAGATAGATAGATAGATAGATAGATAGATATGACTGATTGATTTCATTTGACTGATGATTGAATTGAAAACAAGGTAGTAAAAGATTAGATAAGAGAGGTGGTACTGCAAAATCCCTGAGATCGGGTCATGCTCCGTATTTGATTTCAAAAATAAGACGGCGGCCCAGTTTTGTGAGATATTGTCATTTTGGAGCAGTCGTAATCATGTCTACATCTAACACAGAACAAGATAGCAGTTGTTTTTAAATTAAAGTATCCCACGAGAAACGCTCAAAAACCACGCCCACTCCATCTCAGGGATAAGGAGTGTATGTATGGTAATTCGCCTTGCAAACGAGAGTGCCTGTAAAGAAGTATGGATTGGAGCGCAGCCTAGGCACTCTTTTCCACCAGTTGCTGCAGGCTAAGTATGACCAGGGCAGACTTTTCCTCTAGTTGTCGCAGGCTAAGGATGGCATCACTTGGTGAGAGAAAACCGTTCTGCTTCTTATCCCACCCCCCCCCCCTCAGATGATCTATCGTTTGCAGAGGTTAATGACTGCCTATCTTGTCTTCTTCCAGTACTGCGCGGTTCACAACTGAAGTACCTGTGTCGTGCTGATAAGCTAGAAGAAATGACGTCCATCTGAGGTTCTCGAGAAACTCGCTAGTAGCCTGTGCTCCCAGCCCTCGTCGTGGACCGATACTCGTTACAAAATCAGATACTGAAAGAAGAATGACTCTGAAGAAATTAGCAGCAGAATATCGAAGGCTTTTCAGGCACTCACCAGTATCTACAGGATTGCCCATTTTCATTGAGATGCAAGGAATCTGAAATGTAGTAGTAATTAGCACATAATCTATAATGAGGTTCACTGACAGCTTGAACTCAGCACCCCCCCCCCCCTCCCCGTGCTCCCTCCCCTCTCACGTCAAATGTTTTCCCTTGCACTCTCTCGCCTGTATGGCATCCTGTGACCGCAGCAACCTTACGAATCCGCTTTCGGCTTTTGACACATGAAAAGCTTCTCACCCTACCTCACCCTAACGGGGAGTCCTTGAATAAGCCCTCCCTCAAAAATGTTTAGCCCCTGGCGTGCCACGTGCCACACGTGTTTTTAACTTTCGATGTTTGAGACCAACTGCTCTCTGGTTGTCTAGGACTTTCGCAAAGGGAACATGAACGCTGATCCTCGCTCCGGCAAACTTCTCTCAAAGGGAGAACTCTATTAGTTGATTAACTT